CTTACACCTAGTATATATATATGTATATATATATATATATATACACACACGTATTTGAAGATTTTTTAAAATAATTTCATTTTGTTGTAATGTTGCAATATTTATTAATTAATCTACCTGATTTTAGAAACTAGACCCCGAATGTTCCTTAGTTATATAATTAAACCTTGTTTTTATAGATATTTGGGGTAAGCAGATGGCTTCCAATAAGCAAATAACTTCCCCAGAATTTTCAATTATTCTAATGTTTTTCCTTTCACAAATTAATTTGTTGTAGAAGCCCAGAAATTTCAAATAAATTTCTCTAGTAGACTAATGAACTCCAAAATCTTTATATATATTTAGTCTTTCACCCGCGATATTAGAAGACTCACTAGCGCTCACCAAGCACGTCTCAACTACAATAGGTTTAGCAAAAATATTTCAATTTCTACGAGTAACGAACAATAATTTCATGACTTTCTCATCCAACCACTAAATGACTTACTATTTTGACCCTCGATCCTCTTGCACGCTCTTATATAATCTCGTCGCTAGTTTGCGTCCCGCTAACGTGCAGGTTCATTGTAACCATATAATTCAATGTACTATGTCATATCATTGTATATTATGTAAACTATCCAATCAAAGGATATAAAAACAATTTTTCGCCCCCCCTTGATATAGCTCAGTGGTGCAAAGAACATGAGTAAGGTAGTCTTAACTAAACTGGTAGCCGCAGTGTGAGAGTTCAATTTCTGCCCCTTACAAGGTATGGAATTAAACTATTTTTGGGCACCAGTATGGCAGCTCTTGTACCCTGGCTTGTTGAGACACATCTCGCGATTTACCTCATTCACGATACTTGAGGTGAGGGGAGGGGCAGGGCTCTCGAGGTTGGGGTTCAACCCTTTTTTAAAAACAACTTTTCAATGAAAAATACTAGCTATGAAGAGTCATCAATTGGAAAAGCAATCGACATGGATGTCGTTCTTGAAGGAGATATAAATGTAATGATTCCAATTGTAACTTCAAAGCTCGTCGTTTTTCCAAAATTTCCTCAGGTGAATACCTTGCCGGCCCTTTGTCTTGCATGTAGCCTTGTTCACAATTCAGCGAACAAGGCATGACCACGAAAGGTCTATCTTGTGACTTTGTAACAACTACGAATAATCAATTTTAAAGTGAAATTCTATTTATCGTGTTTGTAATGCGATGCCGAATCTAACCTCCTTTCCCTGCTGAGCCACATGGTATTATTTGACCTAACAAAAGGCATATGAGCCCACATGTCAAGGACGACCATTGCAATCGCCTTACAAGTTACAATACAATCAATGTTCACAACATGGTGGTCCGACATGGTTTCACTTTATTAAGATAATGCAAAGACAAAATAAGCATTAACCAAATTCTTACAATTAATATCGAGAAAATACCACTCAAAACTCAAAAAGACCAGAACATGGAGCTCTTATTTAATTTCCTCTTTCCTTTTAAAATGGTGCATTGAGGTTTTGAAGTCCGTGCTCAAGTATAAAACGATGGATAACAGTACTCAATTATCATAGATCGACGATGAATTACATATATCATTACATATTTTAAGATTACAAAGGCTACGTACAACCTCATGTGCTCATGAATTTATCATCATCTAATAATCGAAAAAATGATGAAAATTATATATTTTATTTACTATATATATCTTCCTAATCCAAAAAAAATTGCAGCATTTTTTTTTTTAATGCACAGTCCAATATCTACCCTCTATCTTTCTATAAACACCACTCCACCCTCCAAGGGAGATATCTCAGTTTGGAGATCAAGATCACTTTCTTCCGAATGAGTTACTTGATAGAGTGTACTATATAGTATTGGACAGTATCCAAGAAAGAAACAAAAATTAAAATCTTGTCTATCGTACTGTCTAGATTGTCCTTATTGCTTGCTCTAATTGTGTATAGGAGGTTTTCTTCTTGCTTGAGAATAATCCATTCCAGCTATGTCCACAATGTCTGGATAGGGCTCTGCCACAGGCTGCTGTTTTTCAGTTACTGGTGATGAATTGGTAGGGAGATTTTCTTCTGTCCAACTAACTTTTTCACTTCTTGATTTGCCCTCTGATTTGGTATGATCTTTATTTCCTTCAGTCTTGTCATTCTGTACACGGAAAGCTAATCATATAAGAGAAACAAGAAAAAAATGTAACACTATAATGAACAAGATTTTAATTTCTTATTTTGATTTTAAATGAGCTGAAAGAGTCCCGATTTGAAACTTCGTTGGACTAAACATTGTTTTCTAATCCTTAAAAACCCACCTTAATCGTGGCGCCAGTGCTGGATATATGGGTACTTTTCTTGGTCATAAGTTTTCTATAATTCCTTCCTGCAAACAAAAAACTCGAGAAGTTTGAGTGCAAGATTTTTCTCACGTCTCTCACGATAAAACAAAAACCTTGACATGCTAGGTTGATCCACGGTCTAGAAATAATCAATGATTAGGTTGGAAACAAATGGATCCTTAGTAATTACCTGAACAGTGATTAATTTTGCAATGAAAAACCTCTTCAACATCATTAATTCTTCTGTCTGGAATACTTTTCTGCTGAATTAACGAAAAATCTTATTCAGATTAGACTTCACCAGATACTACATAGAAATAGAATTCCCTCCTTTGAAATTAATAAAAATACAACAAAAGAATTGTGTGTGTGTACTTACAGGAATATTATGATGATATCTAGCCGATACAAATTCTCTTGTCAAACGTAAGCCTTCATCAGAATTGGAGAGATAAATCAATACATGGCAATTATACTGCTAAAAATGACGAACTTAATGAGTTGAACTTAGTAATTTTCGACATATATAATATATATTCATGTGACCATTACTTATGGTTAGCCATTGTGACTCGGAAATCAAGTCGGGCAGCGAAGGGACTACTCGACCCAATATATATGTACGCACGTACATAAAATGTCCACATACCTTGAGCTTCATGAAGCATTAAAATTAGCAGAGATATAAGCAGCTGCAGCCAGGACTTCATTTGGAGAATTAAAGGGTTTTTGACAGAAGGATCAGAGTTTGGACAGTTTTGGAATACTTGATGGATAGGGAATGGAATGTGGATATGTTGTTTGTGTTCATCCTTCCCTCCTGAACTTCTTAAATACTATATTTTGTGCATTGAAGCCGGTGAATAAATGCAACTTGTATATGTAAAGCATAAGGGACCCATTTTAGCGACAACGGTAATGAAGAGCCGACAAAGTATATACCACCAACAGTAATTTTAACCACATATTTCTTATGACCTACAACTTTTCAATCATAGATTTCATCAACATTTATTAAAATTTACTAAAAATCTTATTTTAATCGACAGCTTATAGGGGAGAGTTAATGGAGGTTCAAGTCTTTTTGAACACAAAAATAAAATCCCAACAGGACATGTTTTAAGAAATGACAAGAAAATGTGGAGTACTGTTCTGAATTTTCTAGATTTCCATCGCTGTCCAAACCCTACATGGATAGTTTGTCTCCCTTAAACAATGTCCACAAAAATCAGTAGATCTGCTCAGTAATAATACACTGTAAAAATGGAGTTTAACCATTTCATGTAGCCTGTCGGTCTTCTACCTCTTTCTTATAGTCAAAAATTTAAAATGTTTTTTCTGTGTTAATAATGGTAGATACATTTATGAGCTATGTTACGCCTCGCCACCAAGGCTCAAAATCAAAGTGTCACGTAACAATCCACGTGGGCAGAGAATCAACATAAAAGTCAACAAAAACCCAAATGGTCAAAATGAAAACAAATTATGCAAACTACCAAAACTCGTACTAAGGCACTACCCCAATTAATGAAGCACTACACTTGGACTGAAACACTACCTAAAGAAATGAAGAAAGGAGCTTAAGCTCTCCACTTAGAGAACTAGCTCCGAGGCTCTCAATTCATATGAAACTCATAAACCGGCGCTGTCTCTTAAAATATATTTTGAGTGTCTTTTAGAAATGATTGATGTAATACTTATAATAAAGGATGTCAAGGTGTCAGCCTATTGTATAGGACTACTGACCCTTATCAATGTATTAATTGTATGAATAGACAATAATGTGAAGCCTCAACTAAGGAGATGATGCCATGTGGTTCTGATCCAACGGACACCACATCGGCTAAGGCAGTATAAATAAATCCTTTTTGTAACTTAGAAGGGGTTGGGGGAATTGGAATTGGAATTGGAATTGAGATTCTTATTCTCATATCTTGAACTCTCAAATATGGAATGAACAAGAAATATTTACAAACACTTCTATGAGCATTTTCATCTTTTATTACACACTTGGTAGATGAATATCTTAATAGACGATCTCACAATCTACGCGATTGTTTTTTATCTTTCCACATATTCTAGTGAGATCTTTGGTTAGTGGATTTTGTTCTCGGTTGGTGATTATTGATAGCGTGATCATTTTTGTTTCACCCGTCAAAACTCAAACATCTTTGTCTCTCGTCGTAAAGCACCTCTCGCGTTCAAATCTGCCTCCTTTCTCACCATTTCTCTAGTAGAAACGTGTCGAAATTTGCTTGACATGGCGAGAGTGGACCCGTCATCTGTTGGCTCATTTTTCGGGGTCAACAAGCTATATTCACAATTGACATCTACGAATTTACGTTCTTTACAAAAAAAAAAAAAAAAAAAAAAGATAAGTTGAATTGTGTAACACCGTATAAGATTAGAGAACAAAATATGATTAAGTTCATGTTTGGTTCAACTTATTAATTCAAATTAAGTCAACAAGTAATTATAATAACATATTTTATGAAATTCACAACTTTTCAACAATACAAATCCAAAGCAAATAGAGCAATCGCCTAAAGCTTTATATTTAGGTATGATTTGTCCGCTAAGTAGAGATAAATATTATTTACTCCTCTTAATATTTTATTCTAGAAAATGTGGCATGTTTGAGTCCTATTTTTTCTTAAAAATGCATTTTGGAATAGTAAATTGATAGAAAATGTATGGTTGAAAAATAAGAAAAAAATTTGAATTTGCGTATAATATTATTTTATTGAAAATATATATGATTGAAAAGAATAGAGATAAAAATATATTTAAAAAAAAAAAGGGATCAAACAAGAGTCAAGTAATGTATAATAAATATGTTATTAGAGGTTGAGACGGCTCAATCTCGAAGCAAGTAGTGAAAATTGCCCAAGGCTCCATCTTTAGGTAAAACTTCAAAAAATATATATCTGACTTGCTCTTTTCAATCTTTTAATTTTGTTAAAGGTCTATTAGAGTTTTTTTATTCACTAAATCATTTTTTTACCTCTATTTGGCCCTCGTTTTTTAAAATTCATTTTTTCCAAATTTATTTTCGACCAGATTCAAAAATTTTATCAACTATGAAAATCACATATTTCATCAATTTTTATTAAAATTTATTAAAAAATTAATTATTAACTGAAACAGACAGTGACTTTGTATTATGAATTCAATTTAACATGTTGAGCATGTCTTTAATTACAAATTCAAGAATATAATAATTCACAAAAACACCCCCATCGTGAAAAGGTATATTAGATCACTTAGTCCCATGATTAGAACTCATCAATTAAACCATTGTAGAAATTGGACGGGACACAACTTGAGAGGGCACATTTGATTTATTGAGGAAAATTAATTAATAAATTTAAGAGTTTCATTTAGTCCCTTATTCCCATTTTATAAAATTCAACTCTTTTAAAAAAAAAAATTTCTAATTATAAATTTCATGGAATTCACTGTTTTTATCAAATTTTTAATAACCTATTTCAATAATTTTTATCGAAATATACTCAAAATCTAATTTTTAGCTAAACCAAACATGAACTTATAAAGAAGGGTTGTCGAATGGACAAACGAACTTACATGCTTAATGTTTTGACTTGCTAAACGTAATTGACACGTCATATCAATTCATTGATAAATAATAAATTTAATTCAAATATTGAGATACATCGTACATTTATTCATTAATAGATTTATGTGTTATGTAAACGATACTTCATAAACTATGATATGAAACCGAAACTATTGAATTAATTTAATTTTACTAAAAATGCAAAAAATGCCGAAACGAAAAGAAAATTGGGAAACTGTCGAGGCAGTTGAATAGTAAATGAGGTTGATTGAGTGGATGAATAACGACCACCGATGGATTGTAAAATTAGTTGTACAAAATTATTGTACAAGTAGTTTTAACTTTGTTTTCAGAATCGTCGTGGACATCGACTGCTCAGGGACAGGAAAACATCAACTTTGTGACCGTGTCTAGCGGGCAGTGGTCCAAGGCGGGTGGATGTGGGTGCAAACCTCGACTTTTAGCCAAATGAAGTCCAAGCAAATTTATTTTTTCATATATAAAAATATATTTTTTAAATCTATTAGATCAGTGAAAAAAATAACATGGCTCTGTCCTTGAGTAGATCTAATTTTAACTTTTTCCATTTAATAATTTTTTTAAATAAATTAACGAGTTTTCATATTTATACATATATTTCTATTTGACATGTAGAAGATGTATTTTACAAGGAAAATTCTAAAACCATTTGTCATATTTATTTTTATTCCTTAATCCCATCTATTATGTCCAATAAATAAGAAGTAATATTGATTGTTATATATTAATGAATATATACAAGACCATAATTAAATTCTCAAACGTTTTTTCCTCTTTTTTGTGCATGAATGAGAATCTTAGTATTGATGATTTACCGCACAATCATATTTAATCACGCCTCTCAAGATTCATTCATAATATAGTTTTCGACAGAATTCTTTTTAATTAATCGATTTACCTCTATCGGGTTCAAATCGATTCTCTCAATGTAAGTCAATTCACATATCTCTATGTAAATCTGAAAGCCTCAACTAAACACATTCAAACTCCTAAAATGCAATTAAAGAATGCGGCAATTAAAGTACTCCCAAACGCTCACGTTGAATGGCCCAGATAAGTGTAAAATCACACTTATCAATGTCCCAAGTAATAAAGATTGTTGCACAAGTCTGTTGAAATTGTTGTACGACTTGGTTCATGTAGGATTAGAGCAAGCAAAAGTCTTGAGTTAAGTTTCCCTCGCAACTCATTTGAAAATACTTATTGCTTTGCTCATTTATCTCCTAAGTCCTAGCTTAGTTCAACAGTCCCCCTTAATCTAGTTTTACATAACTCTTTGCAAATTTCATTGAAGCATTTTTGCTGTTGGGATTGACTCAATAATTAAGTCTAGGGAGTAAAGAGATAAATATGATCACAACCATAGGGAACAAATTAGAAGATATTACACTCTCTATCCGTCGCTAAATTTATTGAAAGATCTGTAACATTAAGATCTTTAATAACTATAACATTGTCGTTCTCCTTGTGACTTACTCTACTAGATCATTTTTGTACTTCGAACAAATAGAAAAATTAAGAAGTTGGAAATAAAACAAACAAAATTCCATTCTTTTAATTCCCATTTTATTTATTGCAAATAAATGCTACCAACCCTTAACCAAAAAATCCCTTTGTAGCTAGGCTCAATGGAATTGATCCACTACAGAATTTACATTATACGCATTAGAAGTATCTGAAGTACTAAATGGAATGGTATTAATATGGAAATCTTTGGGCTTGACCTAAATTGAAAAGTAATGATGAGGTATAAGAAACTCAAACACAAAAGAAAAATTGTTATTATCTTAAGGGGGTCATCTTTTTCAAAGCTAATATTTCTACATAAACAATTTCTCGTTTGCCTTGTCTTTCTTCTTTTTCTTTAAAGAGGAGAGTCGGGCACTCAATGGCTACTGTGCTCAAGGGCGGAGCCAACCCGTTGAAGTAGGGGGGTTGCCCCCAAATTTTTTTTTTGAAACATTATTTGTTAAAATGAGAGAAGTTGGTACTTTATGATGGAGAAATGAAACAAATGAACATAAATTAATGTACATTATTAACAAAAAAATCAAGAGATGTATAAAAGAAAGTACTAATCTTTAATTTAGCAAA